CAGTGGGTTGAAGCTGGAGTACCCAGAGAGAACCCAGGGGCCGGGAATCGAACCCAGAACCTTCTTGTTGAAAGGCAACAGTGCTACCGACTGTGCCACTGTGCAGCCTGAGCCAGACTAAATCCTGTCGTGTCCCTCTGGTTGGTTTTAGGATTGATGTAAAGTTCTGGTGCTGACCTGCAGAGGGTCACATGACCAGGCTGCCGGTTCCCTGGTAGCTAAATGTTCTGCCGGTTCTCTGACGTTTATCAGTCGGAGGTTTTGGCCCGTTTTTCCCTCACGGCTCCGATTTCTGACTGGAGGTTTTTAAAAAGCAACTAAAACATTTTTATTTTCTTATGTTGGTTTTATGTCTTCAATGGTTGTCAGGCTGATTTCTGTCGTTCTGCCATTTGTGATTTCATGTCTGTGGAAATGGTTTTATAAATAAACTTTACTGACTAAGAAAATTCTCCATACTAACCCAGTAACATCTCATAATAACTACTAGTTGAATCTGATCAGAAGACATGAACTGCTGCTGATGTTAAATATCCAAAATCACAGAGAAATTGACCATTTCTCTGTTACCATGGTAACCATGGTTCTTTTTAGGACCAAATTCACCAGCATAACCGTGCTGCTGCTGCTCCGTGACCTCTGACCTCAGCGGTGGTGTGTGCCATTGGGAGGCGGTAACCATGACGACCAGGCTGTTACAGCACAGCAGGCTGTTTTTTCCTCTTTTGACAGGAAGTGTGAGCGACGCGCCGCATCGCGTGCCAGCGCCTCAGCCTGAGCGCCATCGCATGAGAAGCTGCGACCGCAGACACATGGGGGAGGGGAACCGGCCCGAAAACATCAGAACCGCTCGGGAGGGAACGCAGTGTTCCAGGTCCGACCCGACCCCAAAACATCAGAACCTCTGACCGGGCCTCAGCAGAACAAACAGTGAAGCAATAAGTTCTGTGAAACCGGGTCAGAAGGGCAGCGTGAGGCTGGGCTGCTGGTACCGCTCGGTCCAGTTGATTCAGAACCCGCTGGGATTTTCACACTGAACCGCCTCTCAGATCTCCAGAGAAGGTTCTGACAAAACAGAACCTTCAGTCCGATGGAGAACTCACCCTCAGTTGGGAAAACAGACCAGTACCAGTAACGGGGAAAACCGGACCAGAACCACCTGGAGACCCATTTTCTGGTCTGATGGGTCTGGATCTCAACTGCAGCATCCAGAACCTGGTGGAACAGTCATGAAACCTGTTCTGGTTGGTGGTGGCAGTGTCATGATGTGGGCCTCTCAAAACCAACTCAGAACCTCTGCAGACCGGACCAGCAGAGACCACTGCTGCTGCCAGAACCTCTGAACATGACCAGAACCGCTCTGGACCCTGATGGGCTTCCACAGCCAGCAGAACTGGGACCAACAGAACCGCTCTGGAAGCTCAGCTGACCAATCAGCAGCAGCAGCTGTGTGATGTCATCACATCAGTCTGGACCAGAACCTCTGAGGGACGGTTCTGACACCTGCTGAGAATCCTGTTCTGACCTGGTATCAGCTGTGTGTGTGTGTGTGTGTGTGTGTGTGACAGGAAGTGGAGGTGAAGCAGAGAACATCATGTTCAGACCACAGACACCTCAGTACTACAGATGAAACAAAAACAAAACTCAGGGGGAGGGAGAGGTTGTCATGGTAACCTTCAAAAACAGCAGCTGATTGGATGGTTGGAACAAGGAACTGCTTAATTTGGCGCATTTGAAAGTTTGTGAAATCAAAGTAGAACAAGTTGTTGCTCTCCCCTACGAGGTCCAACATGAACTGGTTTTATGTTCAAAACCAGTTCAACACCAAGATGCTGCAGCAGTCTAGTCAAAGCCCAGAACCTGACTCATATGCTGCAAGAGAAAACTGGAACAGAAGTCCAACAGCTGAGAGGTTCTGGAGCTGATGGGTCGGGTCACAGAGACCCCCATCAGAACTTCTCTGATTGGTGCCATAGCAATGCATAGGGAGAGCAGAACCAGAACCAAACCAGAACCAACCAAACATGGAGAAGCAGTGTTCAGCTTCTATGCTCCACAGATCTGGAACACACTTCCAGAAAACTGAAAAACAGCTGAAACCCTGAGCTCCTTTAAATCCAGACTGAAACCTGATCAGATTATTATTGCTCTGATTATTAATAACTGGAATATCTGGTTTTTGCTCATCATCGTGACAGTTGGATGTTTCTGGCGGCTCCGCCCCCAGCCTGCGTAAAGCCGCGTCGCTCCTTCCTTTTGTTCGTCACGCTGTGGTTTAACGGACAGAAAGTGAGAAGAGAAGCAAACAGTCAGAATCTGCAGAGCTGAGCAGCGACCATGGTGAGTCCACACCGTCCGTCTGGGTTTGTTCATCACTTCCATCACGTTTTTCCTCCACAAACCAAGAAATTAGAGAGAAAATGAGGCTGAATGTGTAGAAAGTTTTTCTGGAGTAAAGCGCTGACAGTTTAAACAGAACCAAAACTCTGATTCTCACTGAACCGATCCAGAACCAGAGACATTTTAATCGTGTCAGTTTTATAGGACAGAGGCATCAGCTCACCTCCTGCTGCTTTTTCTGCTTTTGTTGTGTTTTATGCTGCTGCTGGCAGGTCAGAGGTCACAGCTGTTAATCTCAGTCAGTTTGTAAATGATTAAACTTTACTGTCATCTGATGTTCAGGTCCAGAGCCGTGACATGTAGTTCTGTTTCATGAATGCAACAGAAACATTGGGACAAATTAAACAAACGTTTTACTGTAAAGACATGTGTCAGGCTCTTATTTTGAAAAAGATGGAGCAGGAAATGATGCAACACAGAGCAGTAAACATGGCTGTTTTTCAGATTGATGACCTCATCACCGTAAACATGACCTCCATGGATGACATCATCACAGCAATGACGACAGAGGTGAGTACTGACGGTGTCCATATTTACGCTGACGCTCCTCAGGTGTGCTCAGGTGTGTCTCACTGCCCTCCCAGGTTCCGTCCACCTCGAGCAGCACCGACGACTATTACGACTATGAGAACGACAACCTCACCGACCTGATGTGCGACCGGCAGCAGGTGCGCGAGTTCCGGAGCCGCTACGAGCCGCCATTCTTCTGGATCATCACCTTGGTGGGCGGAGCCGGCAATCTGGCCGTGGTCTGGATCTACCTGAGCTTCCGGAAGCGGCTGAAGACCATGACGGACGTGTACCTGCTGAACCTGGCGGTGGCCGACCTCCTGTTCCTGGTCACGCTGCCGCTGTGGGCCACCGAGGCGTCGCACGGCTGGATCTTCGGCCACGTCATGTGCAAGATAAACTCCGCCCTCTACAAGGTGAACCTGTTCAGCAGCATCCTGCTGCTCACCTGCATCAGCGTGGACCGCTACATCGTCATCGTGCAGACCACCAAGGCCCAGAACTCCCAGCTGGAGCGGCGGCGCTGCAGCCGCGTCGTGTGCGCCGCGGTCTGGCTGCTGGCGCTTCTGCTCGCCACGCCGGAGCTGGCCTTCGCCGCGCCCGCCGCCGCCGGATCCTCGCATTACTGCAGGATGGTTTACCCGCCCGACATGGGCAACCGCACCAAGATCCTGGTCCTGTCCCTGCAGGTCAGCATGGGCTTCTTCGTCCCCTTCATCGTCATGGGCTTCTGCTACAGCGTCATCATCGCCAAGCTGTTCACGACCCGAAACTTTGAGAAGCACAAGGCCATGCGGGTGATCCTGGCGGTGGTGGCGGTGTTCATCGTGTCGCAGCTGCCCTACAACAGCATGCTGGTGATGGAGGCCACGCAGGCGTCCAACATGACGGTGACGGACTGCGACCAGCTGAAGGCCCTGGACAAGGCCGGCCAGGTGCTGAAGAGTCTGGCCTACATGCACGCCTGCCTCAACCCCTTCCTCTACGTGTTTGTCGGCGTGCGCTTCCGCCGGGATATCGGCCGCCTGCTGCGCTGCTGCCTGCCGCGGCCCAACAAGACTCCGCTGGGGAAGAGCAGGAGTCCGCTGAGCTCCACCCGCGTCTCCATGATGTCCGACAGCGACACCTCCCAGGCCCTGTCGCTGTAGACGGCAGAGATCCGTTTCACCAGCTTCATCAAGACGCAGCTGCTTCACTTCAGGCGCAACACCTCACCGCACAAGTTCACACCTAGAAGAACCACACCGACCCAAACAGAACCAGAACCGCCACAGACACTTGGACCCGATCCAGGTGGCTTCACCTGTCCGGACCTGGACTGGTTGGGTTCCTGGACTTCATGACCTTCCTGCTTTGCCTGGAAGGTGTCGGTTCGGTCCAAACTCCAAGTAGAATCTCCAGAACCAGAAGCCGGTTCCAGGAAGCTGTGAGGACACCCTGTCCTTGTGTTGGGGGTTTCAGAGTTTTGGGGGATTTTCTCAGGAACTTTCTGTACTGTGAAGCTTTATGACGAACAGAACACGTGACTTCTGAGCTGCTGTCTGGTCATGTGACCAAACTGAGACAGTTTGTCTTATGAATATGACTTTGTTTTTCTTCTCTTTGATGTTTGAACTCACCGCCGCTAACACATGCTAACAATGCTAACAGAACCCGACAGGGCCCGGTTCTTTGCTGCTGTAAACATCCTGCTGGGTTTGACTGACTGTACATATTTCTGTGTTGATGACTGAGAATAAACTGTTGAAAGTCTCGAGTCTGTGATCATCAGCAGGAAGTTGATGCAACGCGTCAGGCCGTTTGCTTCACTTCCTGTTTGTGTTTTCAAGCTGAACTTTGTTCTCGGATCAGAGATCAGATGTTTGATGGGAACAAAAACAGAAAGAGGAAGCAGAAGTGCCGCCTGACGCAGGAGAGCTGAACCGGGCTGAACCAGGCAGCTCCAGAACCTGCAGACAGGAAGTGGATCAGTGCAGCACTGATTAGAACATGTGGGTAAACCGCCAACTTCCTGTCAAACGTTTCTTCGTTTAAAAACTGTCGATGGCGGGAAAATGGATCGGCAGAACTCGATGTTCTGACCCGGTTAGCTACACACCTCACTCAGCCGGTCTGGAACCAGAACCAGAACTCTGGTCTGAGATCTGACCGCTTCTCTGAGAATATTTCCTGCTCAGAGAGAAAAAGGTTTGCGGATCAGAAGTCAGATCAGCTGCATTATGGACAAATCTGTCTGGTTTCCATGGTTACCACAGTACTGAGACTGGCCTAGTCAAAGTGTTTAATAACATCCATATAAACAAAGACTGTGGAAGAACCACAGTTCTGGTTCTGTTGGACCTCAGTGCTTCCTGGTGTCCAGCTGGAAACTAGAGATCAGGCTGACCTCTGACCTCTGACCTGAACCTTCAGTTCCAAAGTGGGCCTTGTACCAGCTGCAGAACATTCCCAAGATCACCCGGTTCGACATTCCTTCACTGAGACTTTAACCTGCTGGTTCTGGTTCTGCTCTTCATCAGAACCAAACACGGAGAAGCAGCATTCAACTTCGATGCTCCACAAATCTTGAACAAACTTCCAGAAAACTGAAAAACAGCTGAAACCCTGAGTTCCTTTAAATCCAGACTAAAAAGCAGCTGGTTAGAGTTGCTATGGAAACATAATCGATGCAGCCGAATACAGGCTGCGGTCACAGTGGGAAGAAAAAACAGGATTCAACACAGACGCCCGTCACATGAAAGTTCTTGTGTTTCTACAGAGAGATATTTTTCATTTATTTATTTAACTCTGATTCAACCAGGAAGTGACCACTGAGGGTATGTTGCTGCCGATTGTTGCCAGGTCTGCCTTAAAATAAGACTTTTCAATGGAGACCTGGCAACCACAGGCAGCAACATAAAACAAAAATGAGGGTTCGACCTTTAATGCAAATAAATACATTCCAAATCATATCGTGATACATATCGATATCACCACCATCACACGTATCGCGATATGAGGTTATGTCATATCACACAACCCTGGTCCAGGTGAGTCCAGGTGAGTCCAGGTGTTAACCGCAGTAGAAGGAAACAGGAAGTGACCTCAGGTCGGCTCAGACAAAAGGAAAAGTTCTGTTGTGGTGCCTTGCTGCTCCCTCCCGAGATCAACGAGGCAGCTGGGGGTTTCCATGGCGACACAGAGCTCCAGCCAAACAAGATGGTTGCCATGGTGATGTGAGATCTTCCTTGGATCACCTGCTGAGGGAGCGACCAGGAAAAGCTCCGACATTTTCCTCTGGATCGTTCCGGATTCTCCACCATGTTTTATGGATCTTTCCAGGTTTTCCAGCACAGAAACCTGGGAGGAGGTGAACGGCGGCCATGACTTTTTGAAAATGAGCCCCAGTAACAACCTGCTTCACCCCTTCAAGAACTTGATGGGTTGAAGCAACTTTGCACAATAGTTTCAGTATTTATAAAATAATGCAAAGCTGGTATTTTAATGTATCGTCATTATTTACTGAATGATGCTTCATGACAGACGTTTTAAAGATCCTCCATGTTCATGACGGGTCGCATCAGCCTGTCAGCCTGTCAGTCTTATGCATCCCATTTTGTTTCGGTTTGATGATCTGGATGTAAATACTGAAACTGTTTCTGGTTAGTAACGAACTTTACCTGTTTGTGAAAATCAGCCTGTGTTACTGTCACTTTAAGGTTTGTAATGATGTCATCCAGGCAGCTGATGGAAGCACGTTGTGTTGATCATTTTTCACATCAAGCCGATTACAGACGCCAGTTTTCAGCTCCACTTCATCTCTTCTTAAGTGGAGAACCACAGGGCTCGGTGTCAGGTTCACTTTTGTTTTCTACTTATATAAATATGTTTTGTGATAATTTGTCAAATTCTTTTGATCATTTTTATGCAGTTGGCTTGGTGGTGATCTACTGCTGAAGGTTTAGATAAGAATATTGCAGAAATATGGAGGAAGCATTTATCTGCAGATCGTCAGAGGTTCAGTGTTGCAACATTGACTTCAACAATGTTACGATTGTTGGAGCAGACAAAGTGTTGCTGTTGAGAAAATGCCATTAAATAAATCATGGGGTCACTGAGGGTCGCTGACCAAAGAGCTCAGCTGTTGCTTAGATTGAGATTTAAGGTTTTCTAAAACATCTGACTGACTTCATGCCAGCAGTAAAAGAACAAACTGGGAAGAAATCCAGAGTTGATGACGGACCAGCCAAGAACAACTGATGATCCGTTTGGTTTTAAACAAAAGCTCTGATGATTTATGACTTTATTCACTGAAAGAAATCATAATAAATATAAGATACAGAACACTTGTGTTTTTAGAAGCATCTAAAGCTTCTGACAGAGTTAAACACAATAAACTGTTCATTAAACTGCAACGTAGAGGAACATAATCTGATGTTACATTATGGGATTCTCATCTCTCTGCAAGTTCAGAGTTTTCTGAACCTTTTTCTGTTTCTAATGGAGGCACAAGGTGGGATTTTGTCTCCAGTTCTTTTTAACTCGTACCTTCATGATTTGTCTGTTGAACTTAATGATTGTGATGCTGGATGTGAGGTGGGCAGCCATTTTGTTAATCACTTCATGTACAGTAAAGACGATCTGGAGCCTCATACATAAAGCTGCGTGCGCACAAAAAATGTGCGGTCCCATATTTTTGCACAAGTCGGCATGTATAAAAATTTACTTTGTGTCAAAGTGTGTGTAAATATATGTACATGTTTTCACTGGCATGAAAATGTGCAGCAGCCACACAAACTTTTTCTGTGAACAATAATAAACCATAAACGTCAAAACTCACATAAATACACTGAAGTCTGACCACATTCAGTTATTTAGACCAAGAAGCACCAAACTGATGTTTTTCATGATTTTAATATTTTATTGCTTACACGTGAATGATGAAACTCAAGGTGCTTTATATGAGTTAAAAGGAAATACAAACAAAATGACAAACCAAAGGAAAGAAAACTAACCTAACGTTCTAAAGCATGTAAACTAGGTGCTCCTGTTCAGGGTTACTAAGTATCTAATTCCATTTCTAAATAATGAAACTCTACAGTTTCTGATAACATAAGCTAAGGAGTTACTGATCTAAATCCTTTTCTGAACCGCATTTATCCTCAGACACCAGAGGATAAATGCTAACTCACACAAAGCTAACATGCACAGAAAATAAAGAAAATAAAAATAAAAGGATGTGAAAACCTCACTAGAATGTAAACAACACTTTTCCTCAGTTTTTGTCTCATAAAGATGTAACGCATCGGTCTGTGAACCGAAGCGCATGAAATGCATCTATGGGCTCATTTAATTCCCACTAAAGAAGAAAACAGGGTTGGATCAGCAGATTAACTCCAACAGGTTTGATTATTCAAGGTGATCCAGGTGTGGAGACAATCCCATATATCAGTAGCTGCATCAAGGTGAGCCGTAAATGTGGAGCTTTGGCTCTGATGGAGAACAAAGGAAGGATTCAGAGGGAGGATTGATCAGAGATCAGATTGATCTGATGGTTTATTAGTGTTTAGATTAATCCAGACGGATCATCCTGGATCTCTGAGCAGAACTTAAAGAAGGAGCCGAGCGGTACCGGTACCGGTCCAGCTGCAGCCATCCTTCAGTAAAGCTTTGTGAAAGCGCCTTATGGACATAAAGCAACTTTATTCTGTAAATGTACAACTTATATACATGATTCTACTATTTAATAAACGTCCACATTCCACTCAGAGACCCTCTGACTCTCTGTCTGTCTTTAAATCCCGGCTGAACGTTTTGCTGCTGTTCACACAGGCATTTCCAGGCTCTCTTTATGTTTTAAATTTGGATTTTATTTTTCTTTAAAATGTATTCTTTTTATTTTTGTGAGGTGACATTATGTGCCCTCAAAGCACCTTTTAAATAAAATATATAATTATTATTATAAATACTCATACTGCTACAAACAAGGACGTTGCCATGGTTACTGCTTCACATGGTGGCAGACTTCTGGGTATTTATACTAATTTACATTAATATGTATTTATGGAGGCGACAGGCGACCAGCAGCTGCTCTACTGACCGTAAATTAGGATTTATAAAGGAAAGATGCGCACAGCTTTATGCATCCCATGTTTTTTGTGCGCCACACTTTTCTAAATTTTTCCATACGCTAAGTTTTAGTGTGAAAACTGTTCAGTCATTTTTGCATGAGGCTCCTGGTGTTTTAGTCTCCCAGGCTGGTTGACATGTAATAAAAGTCTTTTTGGGATTAAACATGTCAGGAGGACCAGAAGATGAATTTTCTTTTTTATTTAGCAAATCAAGTCTTGAGTTTGGTGACATCTTGGTCATATTCTGAGGAGTGATCTCCGTGATGTGAAGCGATGGTGTGGAAGTTGTTCTTAAAGTTTCGCTTTATGCGCCACATTTGGTCGGTTCAGATGTGACCTGAGGTGGAGGATCCTCAATGGACCCAGACGAGGCTAACAGAGGCTCCAGCATGTTTAGTTTGGTGTAACCAGGTTGCTGCAGAGAATCACTTCTGTGTATCAGAAGTTTTACCTGCTTTAAAAAAGGACAGAGAACTAAATCAGGTTTTCCATATTTTTCCGAAATGTTTCTTCTCGTCTTCTCCACCTTTCCAGGTTTGGTCAGAAGCTGCTGAGCGCGTGGCTCAGGTCCCCGTGACCCCGTGACCCCGCTGCTGATGCAGCTGAAACGGGCCTCCGTGTTTCCACCAGAACAAAAGGCCTCCACGCTCCGCGGCACAAACAGCTCCGGGACAAAGCAGGCCGTGTTTCCAGAACTCCGTCTCCCCATAAATCCCGGAGGCGAGCCGCCATGGGGGGTTTGACCGCAGGAGCCACCGAGCGCCATGCCTCTGCCTCGACGCCACTCTTCCTTCCTGGGACAGTCGTCCTCCGAGCGCCCGGCCGCCGCCTCCAGCGGGAGGACGAGCGCAGTCGGCGCCACGATGCCCCGCGGCGCGCCGGTGGGGCCGGGAGCCGCCTGCGGCCTGGGGACGCGGGTTTCCCGCCGGGCTCTGGGCATCAGCAGCGTGTTCCTGCAGGGGATGAGGAGCTGCGCTGCGCCGGTGCTGCCCCGGGCCGCGGGCGGCGGCGCCACGGGCCTCAACAGCTGCCTGATGGAGTACCGGGACAAAGTCCGGGCGCTGGAGGAGCTGAACCGGCAGCTGGAGCAGCAGATCCGCCTCAGCCTGGACCGCAAGGCTGCCAGCGCCGGGGCCTGGGGGCCGCTGCGCAGGGAGTGGGAGGACATCTACCGGCAGGTAGGGGGGCAGCTACCCTCGGGTGGGAGAGTGGGGCTGGGGTCAGGATCCTAAACTGTGATGTCCCACACGCTGCAGGTCAGTGAAGCCATCCTGGAAAACGCTCGGCTGATGCTGCAGACGGAGAACGTTCAGGCCAACGCCGAAGACTTTAAAGAAAGGTCAGAACCCGAGCAGAACCCGAGTAGAACCCGAGCAGAACCCGAGAGTCATTGGAACACTGACTTGATTTCAAATGAGCACAAAATGTTGATTTTGTTCCACTGATGTCAGAAAACTATTTCACAGTCTGTTTCTATTAAAGAACCTCAGTGAGTAACTGGTTCTGATTGGACAGATCCTAACGTGACCCTAAGCTCCTTCCTGTCTTCTTCTTGGTTTGGGCGACATCCGGTTGTTGTTCACCAGTCGTGACGACAAAAATTTACATTTTCGTAATTTCAATTTGTGTAATTTTAAAGTTGATGGAAACTGAGCCGCTGTTGCTGCTAATCAAAGCAACTCTAAGCAGGAGGATCTAAAGGATCTCGTTTCTGATTTACAGATTTCTCAGTCACGTTGCTGATGAACAGCTGAGAGTTCAGATCAGATCAGTGAAGGCTGGACTTTCTGGATATCCAGGCAGCAGGAAGAGATTAATCGATTTATAATTTCTTCTAGGCTTTTGTCATGTTTTCTGCTTGTGTTACGTCTGGCAGCTGGATTCAGTGCTCAGATTAATCCTGTGATTTTTCTCATTTTCTCTGTAAATCCGTCTCAGGGTTTGTGATTCTGTCACCGAGGCAAACGAAGCTCCAGCTTGGTTCATGTTTTTATGATTTCTGTGTTCATAGCTGCAGGTTTCATAATGAACGTGAAGCTGAGTTTGGCGTTGGGTCCGGCAGCAGGCTGCCTGGCAGATCCAACTGCTCGTTTCCATGGAGACACAACCTCCACTTTAATGGGAGCGACGATATGTTTAGAGGCCGATATCCACCAGCTCATCTCCATGGTTACGGCTTAAAGGCCAGAAGGAAGAGTGGTTCTGATTAAATGTTTCTGTTTGGTGACTGTTGGGCTCAGTGAGTCGATGATGATTATACTTTTTATTTTGGGGTTTTGTATAAATTTAGTGGAAACGGGTAGAGTTCATTTACGGCCGTTTGCCTCAACAGAGACAAACTTTCCCAGAAATCCTTAAATCCTGATCTGTGGTAGAAACGCCTCGTCTGTAAATCTGAGCAATATCAACTGAGAAGAACTTCCTGTTCCAGCAGCTGATGATGATGGCGGCGTGTGTGTGTGTGTGTGTGTAGGCTGGACAGCGAGGCGTCCCTCAGGACGGCGGTGGAGGACGAGGTCGGCTCGCTCCGCCGGGTGATGGAGGAGGCGGCCGTGACGAAGGTGGAGCTCGAGGAGCGGATGGAGAGCATGAAGGCGGAGCTGCGGCGCCTGGAGAGCCGCCATGAGCAGGTTCTGCTGCCTCCTGATCGGAACCAGAACCGGCAGCGGGCCTCTGGTGACCGGACTGTCCCTGTCCCCGTAGGACGTCCGCGCCCTCTACAGCCGGACAGCCGGACGGGACGTGGACGAACCCGACGCTCCTGTGGAAACGGGTCTGGACCGGATCCTGGCCCACATCCGGACCCACTGGGAGGAGCTGACGGAGCGGAACCGGGCCGACACCGACGGCTACCTGGAGTCAAAGGTGAGGCCGGGTAAGAGGACCAGCCGTTCCCTCTGTCCCCTAACCCCGTCCCGTCCTGTCCCCCAGGAGGCGCCGTGCGCGGCCAGCCGTCTGAGTGCGGAGGAGCAGCAGGCGGAGGCGCTGAAGGCAGAGTGCAGCGACGTGAGCTGCAGGATCCAGAGTCTCCAGGCTGAGACGGAGTCCATCAGGGCGCTGGTGAGAGCGGCACCATCACTTCCAGGGTCACCCAGACCCTGACCTCCTGACCCCCTGACCTCTGGTCCTGCAGAAACGAGGCCTGGAGAACTCGCTGACTGACGCCCGCCACTGGCACGACGTGGAGCTGCAGAACCTGGGCTCAGTGGCGGCGCGGCTGGAGGCGGAGCTTAGCGATGTGCGGAGCGAGATCGAGCAGCAGCGTCGCGACTTCGACATGTTGCTAAGCAACCGGCAGAGGCTGGAGCAGCAGATCGGCCTGTACCACGGCATCCTGGACGGAGAGGAGGACCGCTTCCTGCCAAGCAACGCGCCGCCGTGAGTCACGGCAACACAGGGCAACGGCGACACTTGGCAATAACACATAGCAACAGCATGTAGCAACAGCATGTAGCAACACCATGTAGCAACAGCAAATAGCAACATGTAGCAGCATGTAGCAACAGCACGTAGCAACAGCATGAAGCAGCATGTAGCAACATATAGCAACAGCATGTAGCAACATGTAGCAAACCATATAGCAACAGCATGTAGCAACAACATCCAACATGTAGCAACACCATGTAGCAACAGCATGTAGCAACATATAGCAACAGCAAATAGCAACATGTAGCAGCATGTAGCTGCTACATGTTGCTACATACATAGCAACATGCAACATGCAGCTACATGATAGTGACATGTTGCCGGTGTTACTATCA